ACGAGAGGCGTGAGCAAGCTTACGTCCGAGCAGAGAACTACCGACGTCAAGTAAAATCATACTATGACGCCAAGGTACGTTCCCGGGAATTTCAGGTGGGGGACTACGTCCTCCGCCGAAGGTAAGCAAGCCAGCCGACAGAGGGTGGCAAGCTAGCATTGAAGTACGAAGGGACCTACATCGTCAGTGCCGTGGTCAAACCCGACACCTACAAGCTTAAACGCCCGAATGGGTCCAATGTACCACGAACGTGGAATGTACACCATCTGGTGAAGTTTTATGAGTAGTCCGAAGGAGGTGCAGACGGCGAAGCCCTCATCCCTTAACGGGTTACTGGTTGAATGCCACCCTCGGCCTCTAGCCACTTATGAATAAAATCATGTTCCTCTTGATTTTTTCTTTGGAATTTAAAGTAAAATATTAGCAGGTGCCCTCATCGGCCACCTTAGAGCGAAAGACTCAGGTACGGCCGAAATGGCACCTTGCATTTGCAGCCTACGAGCGACAAGCTCAGGCACTCCATTGTATTTTGTATCAGCGAAGGGCTCAGGCCTAGCTGATAGAGCACATCGTCCTGGCCTCGTAAGCCTAGAAGTGAAACGCTCAGGCATGGCTGACGATGTCCCCAGGACGAGGGGCCCGCAAACGGCCCACGTCTTGAAACGGGAAGCTCACCGCGTCGTCCACGCGCCGGATCGCAGGACGACAGGCCTGAAACCATGGCCGAGGTGACAAAATCCCAAAACTCAGGGATGGGCAACGACAGCCGTTGGAAACCAACCAAAAGTCTAGCCCGCGTCATAAATAGGCGACGGGACCCGCCCTGAGATCACGGACGTTATAAACGAAGTCCGAACCGACCGAAGGACGAGCACACCCTTCGGCCGAAGCCTGAAAGAAGGATACTCCCCTGAAATAGGGAACGAAAAAAAAGAAGAGGGAAGCTGAGGACCGCGCCCACTTGCCGGCCTCGAGCAATGAAAAAATAAAATCCCCACAACTCAGGCCAAACTTGGCTAAGTACATATCAGTTGAACACACGTGTAGTACCACTAACAGGTGACATGGACGATATAGCCACACGTCCATCACAGACAAGGGAATCGTCAAGGACGAAGCATACGCCTATAAAACCCTAACCAGTGGTTGGGTGACACGCGAGTGGTAACCTTCATCGGCCACAGCTCTTTGAAGCACCAACACTTAGTATGAAATAAAGAATTACAATCCTGAAAGATGACCAGGACGAAGCGGGCAGTACCACACCCGCAGAAGAATTAAGCATTCAAGCAACAATCCCTACCGGCCACAGCATTCCGGATGGCCGTTACAGGCACTGAAACCCAGGCTGTTGGCCAAGCGGAAGATCTTTGGGGATTTGTCCAAGTGTTTACCAAACACTTAGAGAAAATTCCTGATGAAAAAGGTTCCTTAAGAGAATTCCGACACTTAGAGAAACTCTTGGGGAAAGCAAAAGGCACCCTCATCGGCCACAAAGCCAAACCTTGGCCGATGAAGGTAGGGCCATCTCTTGGCCGACAACGGTACCACAAAGAAGGAACTATGCCTTGCATTTATACATAGAAAAATCTCTAAGTATTTAAATGGAGAAACTCTAGACGAAGCGGGCACCTGAATACCCGCAGGCCGTTAGCTACCTATGTCTTGCATTTGTACTTAGAGAAATTTCTATGTTCAAAAAACTAAGTTCAAATGACACAAGGCAAGAAACGAAGACATACAAGGCCGAAGGGGACAACGACCCGTGTACCCTTATCGGCCACAACACAAGGATCCAGGCCGACTTCCCTGATCAGATCAGGAACAAGGGAACACAACGACAACGAAGAACACTGGGCCGACAACAACAACATCGGTTCAACACTTAGGGAATTTCCCAAAGCATTTGTCAACACTGAGGAGAGGCTCAACACCAGGACGATGAGAACACCCACCTACTTGAAGTTGGACACTTAGAAAAATTCTAACAACAACAAGAAGAATGCGACAATGCCAAGACGCAGCGGACACCCCAGCTTGCCCGCCTCGGTCAGGATGGAAAGAAAGTGCCTAAGTGGATCTAAAACACTTAGGAAATTTATGGATAAATCCCAAGTGTTACGACAACGAAGAAACACCGGACAGGCCGACAAGGCCACCAGACTAAATGGACTACCTCACGGACGTAGCAAACGCTCGCGGGTGACCTAAGTTGTAACTTAACACTTAGACAAATTTCAAAATTGAAATGGCAAAAGGGAATAAACATACAAGATATTCAAAGCCGAGCAGGACAACAAAACGTTCATTCATCAACAGTTAAGTACATTGGTGGGCGCTTCGGCCATTACATCACATGGGCAGAAATAAAAGGTAACTAATTACAAGATAGGGAACGGGGAGTAGCCGATCAAGTCTCTTGGGCGCCTCCATGCCCAGCCTGGGTTTGATCTCCGGCATCTTCGGTTCCCTCCTCGGCCTCAGTCTCCTGGTCGGCGGCAGCTGCAGAACTTGTGGCATCATCCAAGAAATCAAACTCGTCATAGTCCGGCTCGCCGAGGCTGGAACTCTCGATTGGGGCCTCCCTTTCCGAAAGAGGAAGCTTGGCCTGCTCCTCGGGATCCTTCATCAGCCTGGGAAGCCTCAGATTCCGCCTCGCCCACCCGGAGGTATAGTTCATTGCTTTAAGGGCACGCGCCAGCCACTGGCACAGGAGCCTCTGCATCCGCTCTTGGCCCATGTTGTAATACACAGACATCTCCCTTCCAAAGTACTCTTGGCTGGCGGGGGAGTTCATTCCCCAATCTTCGAGCTTGGCGGCCACCACTTCATAGCACCAGGGGAGCCGCTCTTCGGCCTTCCATCCCTCGGCCAGGAACTTTTGAACGGCCTCATCAGCGGCCTTCACAGCGGCAGCCTCAGCCTCAATTTTGGCCTTCACGGCTTCATCATTCTTGCACCGCTCAGACTCAAGCGCCTTCTGGCTCTCCGCAAGTTTGGCCAGGGCATCGTCCCTGGCTGCAGCTGCCTCATCGGCTCTCTCCTGCATAGCCTTGGCATCATCTCGGAGTCGATCCAAGCAAGCCACCGCCTCATCGGCCGAGGCAGCCTTTTGCTCGAGCTCCTTCAGACGAGCAATCTCCCGTTGCTGCCTTTTGTGGCTCTCCATGAGCATGAAGGCACCCTGCAAAACAAAGGCAAACAAAGACTCAGGCAATGACTTCACACAGACGACGAGAAAAACAACAAATAAAAGGAAAGGGAACTTACTTGGACGATGAGGTCCATCCCGCCTTCATACACCTTGACGTCCTCGAGCCTCTTGAGGTAGGCCCGATCCTTGGCCGGCATGGCCTGGGCAAGCACATCATGGCCGAGGACGCCATCGTCAAAGACACCCCCGCCAACGGGGTACTCCACCATTTTCTGGTAAGTGGCAGCGGCAATCTCCTTGCCAGCCCGCTTCGTCCGAGTCTCCTGGCCGAGAGGGAGCGGCTGAGCAACGGCGCTGGAAGGAGCAGCGGTAAGATCCACAACGGCGGCAGCAGAGGCAGAACCACCATCGTCCACATTGGGGACGGTCAGAACGCCGACCTCATCGGCATGGGAAGGAGACGGCGCCCTCTTCGTCTTCTTAGCGAGATTCAGGCCAGCCTCTGTCAGCTTCTTCTGGCCGTCAGTGGGAGGCCGCTTCTTCTTTGACTGGGCAGGCTTCGGGGCCGCACCAGCAGTAGCCCCGCCCCCTCGGCCACGGCACGCCTCGCCACCTCGGCCGCCTTCGCAGCCAGCTCCTCGGCCGCCTTGGCCTTGGCTATGGCCATGATCGAATGGCGATCCATCACAAAGTCTACACAAAGGAAAATGAACAGGTTAACAAGGCAAAAGAACAAAAAACAAAGGAAGAAAGCCGGAGAAAGTATTACCATCGGCCTCAGCAGGAATGCCCAAATCCGGGCCGTCGGCCTCTTCGAAGGTAGTGGTCATCCTCGGCCACAGTTGGACATCGTCCTCCTTGTCGCCATACACATAGTACCTAAAGAAGCCGAGGGCGGTCATCTTATATTCGGTGATGTAGTCTTTCACGCTCCTCGGCCCCCCGTCCAGGAACGCCTCCACCTGAGCGTCCAGGATCGAACTCTTCGGCGGGTCGTGCAGATTGAACCTCCTAGTGTGGCCGAGAGAGGGAAATTCAGTGTCGTTCTCACCGAGGGACACGAAAACGATCTTGCTCTTCCACCCATGGATGGACGAAGGCAAGTCCGTGAAGCTCCTCTTCTTCGGCAACTGTTGGAGAGTAGCGTAGGCCGCACAGTTCTTGTGGCTTCCTCGGCCAATCTGATAAAGGTTCATGAAGAGAGCTGTCGTCGGCCTGTAGCCCAACTCCTCACAGCGGAGCAAGAACCCCACCATCAACGAGTAGCTGTTCGGGGTCAGCAAGGCCGGAGGGAGTCCCACCATGTCCAAATATTCAGTGATTAAGGGATGAAGGGGAAACCTCAGCCCCTTGGCGAAACTCATCGGGTATACTCCGAAGTACCCCGGTGGCGGATTGAGTACATGGTCCGTCGGCCTGGGTGCCCTAACCCTCCCGAACGGCCCCACGTACATCTGGGCAACTAAGTAATCAGCCGCGCTGCTCTCCGGCTTGATCAGGTAAATATTTGTGAGATCCAGGTAGGAGACGCCTGGCCCACTCTTCGGCCTCCTTACTCTCTTCGGCTTCTCTGCTCCCTTCACGTCAGACACCGGTCTCGGGCACGGAATAGCAACGGAAGTGGACGCCCCGTCCACCACTCGAGACGCACCTGCGTCCTCACCTTTTGAAGACGAGGCGGACTCCTCGTCCTCACCTTCGTCGTCCACCGGCTCTCCGGACTTGTAAGGACTCAAACGCTCTATCTCTTCCTCGAACTCCTCAAGCACCTCATAGTCGAGGGACCTAGTGGAGGGCTGGTCGTCGTACGGGTAGTACTCTTCGTCTAAGCTCTTCATCATAACAACTATTACGAGCCTAAGGGGAATTACTTCGGATCTAAGGCGTTTTGTCCACTAACACTAGATCAAGGCTCAGGGAAGCAAAGTTTGCAAAGGAATTGAAGAACAAGTCAAGAACTAACCTTGAAGGTATGAAGAACTCGAAGAACACCTTGAAGACTCTCTCTCTAGGAATTTGGACATCACTTCGATATCTCAAGAATGCAAGTAAGGAAACGCTTCGGAGGAGGGGGGTATTTATAGACACTCTCCAACGGTCACTACACGTGGTACCATATCAATGGCCACCTCAGCGGTCACCTTCCCAGCAGCCGATGAGGTGCCACCCCTTCAGAAATGGGCCGGGCTCGTGAACTAACCTACCGGCGGAGTAAAAGCCTACGGATCACACGGACAACGAGCGCCCACAACGGCCTATATGCTTGTCGGCTTCACAAGTGCCAGCAAGCGCCCACAACGGCCATACGCTTGCCAAGTTCACAAACGCCAACAATAAGGAGATGACAACGGCCAAGAACGTCATGAACGCCCGTAACGGCCACAGAACCAAAGGAACAAAGAACCCGCAGCCATCGGCTCTCCGTAACGACCCTCGATGATAACTCTTTACAAGCGATCTGCGCACAAGGGTTCTCCCACAGGGTTACCTTGGCCAGAAAATCGCCATAAGGGTTGGATTCAGGGGCACTACGGAGAGGCCGCTTCGGCCAGGGACTCAAGCAACTCCTTCACCCCTCACACCCTTCGGCCTGAAGCAGTGGGGGACTGGGGGACTACATCGGCCTCAACAATACAGACAAAGGAAAAATGCAAACACAAATGTAACCACAAAGCATGGCCACACCGTCCATATATCACATGGAGCCTCGTCGGCCAAAGGCACATAACACCGTCAGCAACGGCCAACAGGCCACCTGAGGCAAGGACATTCATCGTCCCCTGCCAAAAGTTAATCATAATGGGCTCTCCGGCCAAGAACACGAAAGCCAATCAGCGACGGCCAAAAGGAGTGCGCACGCACCCTCATCGGCCACCCAAAGGAAAGGACGCCATCGTCTCCGAAGCAAGGTTACACCTCAACGGCCTCATCGGCCCGAATGTAAATCTCAACCATCAACGTCCAAGAAAGGGAAAATGCGCCTTCAACGGCCACCATCGAAGCAGGACACTCATCATCCCCAAACGAACACACCAAGGAAACAACGGCTTCCCCGTCCACAGCGAGGAGCAGGTAACGGCCAAAGCACAGAACAAGATCACCAAAATGGAAACAGCGCCAACGCCGCAACAGCTAACGACCTAGGAGTGCTCGCATCGACCAAAAGCACCAAAACACGGGAATCTACTCTCCTTCACTTCGTCTACATCTCAGCTTAGAGAGTGGGGGACTCCTGATGGAGTATATGGGTCTGAGCCCTAGGACCCACATACTCAGAAGAACAGAAAGCACGAGACACTGAGTGGTGCCCTCGTCGGCCATGGGACCCCCGTCGGCCGAAAAGGTACCAACTCAGAATATGGTCCTGAAGCCAAGGAACCCGGGTGCCCTCGTCGGCCGCGCCCTCGTCGGCCGTGCCCTCGTCGGCCACGCCCTCGTCGGCCACGAAGACCTCACAGAACCGGATTTTACACTTACTCATTTGTACAGCCCATTAGTGGCTTTGTATTCGGCCCAGTAGCGGTCCAGTTGTAAATGGGCCTCCCAAGCCCAAGGCTTGGGAGCCCAGCCCAAGGCTTGGGAGCCCAACCCGTATTTTCCTTATAAATACTTCCTCTGGAGGTAGTTATCAGGGTTACAAAATCATTCTATTGAAGCATATTATTGCACTTCTCTCTCTAGCTCTCACTTCTCTCTAGATATACTCTATCATGAATTTTATCAATCCATGACCTAAAAGATTGATCTAGTATTGATAAGAGACCTAAAAGACAAAAATGTATCGATATAAGGCTTGAATAAATGAAACCTATCGATCTCAGAACTAAAATATACTCCGTATATTATAGATTTGATTTGTTTAATTTTTTTTAATTATATTACTAATTTTGATGATTTCTTCTTCAAAAAAGTTTATTAATTTAATAAACTTAAATGATATTTAATTTTTTAAAATAAAAAATATAAATTCATAATATTTTATATCTTACTCGTGAGTCTTTTCCCTTAGCTACTTTCATTATTCCACGATTGAGTAGCTAAGTATAAAAATAACGATAAACAACAATGACTTATAATAATGGTAATAAATTGTGATTTACTCTAAAATTTAATTTTATAGATAGTTTTTATTGAATTTAAGAGTTATATTAAATTAAATTTAATAAATATTAACATGAGGGGGCAAATGGTGAAAATAATCCTAACTTAAGGGGTAACTAATTGATTTTTAAAAATGCAAGGTTACATTAATAATTATGGTATAACCTCATGGGGCTAATCATAATTTTCCCTTACTTTTTTACACAGGATGATAATTACGATATGAAGTATTTTGTTCAAATCGTTTTAAACTGGAAAGCTTTTTATGATAAAAAAATGGAAAACTTTTTATTTAAATACAATGTTTAAATAAAATGCTAGGTTTATTTAAATACAATATTTAATTGGTAGTTATTTAAATACAATATTGAAAAAACGCTAGGCTTATGACATGGGCACATGAGACATACTAGAGCCGAATGTATGACTGATTGTTTTTCATTTTGAACGAAACTAGCCTCTATTCATATCATAAGTTTCATGATCATTACATCAATGAAACGAAAAACAAATCTGACACCAATCAGACACCAACAATTACGTCCGTAAATCCTATGGTGAGACTCAGAGACGGTCACCCCTGAAAGAGCAATACGAATCGCTAACCATGTAACGAGCTTGACACATCCATCCATGTCTCCAAAGATCCAAATATACCCAATGACCTGAACAAAGGCTAAAAACCCAAACAGACTGACACACCTAACAACATAGACATTAACGAGAAACCAAATGACAAAATAATAAAGTCTCATCGGAGGAGGACAAAACATGAGCAAAACTAAATAAGCAAAGTAAAAGTCTTGAACCCTAGCACCTCGTGCAATTCCTGGATGTGGTTCAGGAGGAGGCCGGATCTTCGTCGCTCGATTGATTGCCTCTCTCGTTGTCGCCCCAAAGTCGGATTAAGAAGCCCCATCATCATCTATTCATAGATCACCCACCTGCTCTTCCTCTCGGTCACGACCATCCTTGCGTCTGTCGTCTGAACCGCCCTCCATCGCCTTGCTACCGCAATTGACCAAACCGCACACAAACGACGCCATAGCCGCATCGATACCCAGCGCCGCACGAAGACGACGAAGACTTCGCCGGCGAAATTCCAACCCCTCAGCTTGCGCTAGGGTAAAACACGTCTCTTTTCTCATTTCACTATCTTGTTATTCGTATTTTATTTATGACTGATTGTTTTTCTAAAAAGTGATTAATTGCATAATCTCCAAATGCATAGTCTATTCAATGTTTTTCTCCATCAATCCTCCGCCTAATGGGCCTCATTGCTGACAAATGTCAGCTTTCTCCACCGCTGAAAATGCAAAGTCTCTTCTAACTATCTGTGTAATGGTTTGGCAAATTGGCATAGTCGACTTGAATCGTAACAAATCGAACTAAATCGAATTGATAGTGAACCATATGCAAATCGTAATAAATCGAACTAAATTTGTATAGTATTTCTTTGAAAAATATCTAATCAAATCGTGGAAAAGTGAATAAAATCGAAGGAAACTGTAAAATTCAATAAAACTTTCATATATTTTTTAAAATTAACATATTCAAATCTAATCAATTCGAACCAAACCAACCAAAACATAGTATGGTTTTTATTTGGTAACCTTTCTTTAATCCGTTCCAAACCAAACCATACAAAAATTGCAAAAATACAACCCACCCCACCGCTAACTCTGTTCAAAGAGTGGTGTTTTTTTTCAGTATGCGTTCTCATTAGTCACACTTCACCTTTCAATTCAAGCTGAGCTTTAAGACATCTTAACATACAAATAGACACGTTCTTGATGATGCAACACAAGCATGCTATCCTTTTCCAATATTCCTATCATTCGCAACATTCCAAGGAACGTTGAGAACCGTGTGACTCGAGTCCAAATCGAGAAAACCTATGATGAAACTGTTAATATTGAGTCTATATGACAATGTGATATTGTGATCTAGGTGAGAACAATGACGTGATTAGAGAGAGGTCTTTAATGGCCATCACTTGAGAGTAAGGATGTTTTTACTTGGACTGTGATTTATTGGTCTGATCTGGTCTGCTTAAGTCTGATCTGATCTGAAGTGGTATGATAAATGTCTGGTCTCTGTGTATTTTCTAACTACGGAAGTCTGGTCTAATCTGTTTAAGTTTGGTCTGATCTGGTTTATTTAAGTCTGGTTTGGTCTGATCTGTTTAAATCTTGTCCGGTCTTCTGGTTTGGGACTGAAAACAGTCTAAATAAAAACATCTTGAGCCGTTCTTCAATAATAGGTGAAATATTAGAAATTCTGAGGGATTGAGAGAGAATTAGTCATGCATTAATGTGGAACACTTCCATTATAAACAAAGTTCAATTCATACGACCTCAAATTGGTTGGCTTTGGTATTTTTCTGATCAAGACCGGACAACTTCATTAGTAACCCCAAATTACATGGAATGCTTATAGTAAAACTTAAAACTTCACACGTCTTTTATTTAGTGCAACTTCCACCTTGTTTATGATAAAGTAGATGGACAGATCGATTGGTGTATACTCAGTATCAAAAGTAAGATAACAATACAGAAGCTCGGTGGTATATACAACCTGAATTACACACAAACCAAATATATGGATAAGACTATCGATACGACTAAATTACCCTTACATATATAATAATTATAATATGCTAATATCCCCCTGCAAACTCATGATGCTACTGCAATAATCATTGAGAGTTTGTCAGATAAGAAACGGAAGCGCGAAGCAGAGTGAGCCTTTGTGAAGAGGTCAGCAATCTGAAGAGAAGAGGGAACATAAGGTAGTGTTATAGTAACAAGCTGGAAGTGATGACGTGTAACATGACAATCAATTTCAATGTGTTTGGTGTGTTCGTGAAAAACCGAATTGCACGCAATTTGGATAACACTTTGATTATCACAGTATAACGGTGTGGGGTGTTGGAGAATAATCCCTAAATCGGCAAGCAACCATCGCAACCAAACAATCTCACACGTAGTCGAGGCCATGGCACGATAACGGTGTGGGGTGTTTTCATGACTTAATTGGGTAATTTAGTCTTATCCATAATCTAATAGTTTCTTACTCTTCCAAGAAATGAGTGAATTGCCAATGAAAATGCGGAATCCTGTTGTGGATTTGCGATATGTATGATCACCACCCCAATCAGCATCAGAAAAAGCACGCAGCTCTAACAATGAAGAGGAAGAGAAGAATAGGCTTTGAAACTGAGTGCCTCGAAGATATCTAAGTATACGAAGAACATCACCCCAATGAACTGTAGTAGGAGCTGTAACAAACTGACTAACCACATGGACAGCATGCGCGATATCAGGACGAGTAACTGTGAGATAGACCAAACTGCCAACCACGGTACGATATAAACTGGGATCAGGTAGAGGAGACCCATCAGAAGGAGAGTAGCGAACCTGACTCTCAAGAGGAGTATCAACAGTCCTACTGTTAGTAAGGCGTGCACGTTCAAAGAGATCTGCTATATACTTTGACTGAGATAAAAGGCGTCCCTTTGGAGAAGAAGCAACTTCTATACCCAAAAAATAACGTATTAAGCCCAAGTCTTTCATAGCAAAGCAACGAGCCAAGTCAAACTTCAATGATTTAATGCCATCATAATCATCACCAGTAATAATCATATCATCAACATACAAAGAGAGGAGAATACGACCTGTGGGTGTGCACTTCACAAACAAGGTTGTATCATGGTGACTCGGTATGAAGCCAAGAGAGGTGATAACCGTGGAGAACTTCTCAAACCAGGCTCTCGGGGCTTGCTTTAGACCGTAAAGATCTATGTGAAGCTTGCACACATGTCAGGGCTGATGCGCGACACCAGGAGGAGGTATCATATAGACTTCTTCGTGTAGATCACCGTTTAAGAATGCATTTTTAACATCCATCTGCCAAATTTCCCACCGATAGACTGAAGCAACTACGATCATAGTCCGAATTGTCGTCATTTTCGCAACGGGTGCAAAAGTCTCCTCATAATCCATGCCATACTTTTGTGAAAAACCTTGTGCAACAAGGCGAGCCTTGTATCGTTCAACGGATCCATCTGATTCAGTTTTAATCTTATAGACCCGACGACAACCGATTGTACGTTTCCCAAATGGCAATGGCACCAAATCCCAAGTGTGAGTATGATTTAGCGCAGTGAGTTCTTCAGCCATAGTAGTCTGCCATATGGGATCACGGACAGCCTCTCTATAGGACACAGGTTCAGAAAGACCATGAACAGACACAAGAAAGGAAATAAACGAAGCAGAGTATGAGGAATAAGCAAAATCAGGAAGTTTAGTGGACTTACGAATACGGGTGGACTGTCGCAATGAAGGATGATCCACAATCTCATTAGGTGATTGAGCAGTTGTAAGAGAAGGTGCCAAAGGTGTGTGTGTCTCGGGAGTCAAAGTATCAGTACCTATGGGTGTCATCTCGTTCATAGCAGAATCAAAAGGATCAATGTG